TACCCCCAAAATGAAAAAATGACCTTAAACCTAAAAATGTCAAAAATTACCTATAAAATTTACATTTCTGTAACCAGCAGCTCATATCCGAGATTTATACATATACATGTATATTTAAGAGCATCGCATAAGATACAGGGAAAAAAAGATAACATGTCATCAAAATCCGGGCCCTAGTGATGAGGTTCTGAACCGAACTGTATCAAACATTCCCCGAATTTAATCTGAATGTGGTTTTCGTTTGTTACTGTCGTTCCCGAACATTCGAACTCTGCCAACGTTTTCCAAGGATTTACTTTCTATATTACGATTTCGTCTTACGTTTTGGTGACAAGACATGTACACTTAGTCCATTTGTAAATCAAGCTCCTCAGCAGGACCCAATCTATTCAAGAGGGCCATAAATCTTGTACCCCCCCATAAAAAAAACTCCGTGGCTTTAGTCCGCAAGCGAACTATACCGACCGAGCGACCGCCACTTTTCGGCGAAGTGCCTAGGATGGAACGTTTCGTATGGCGGGATAGATGCAATGAATGAAGTGTAATTGGTGAAATAAAACGGTAATTGTTAGAAATCTTTTCTGCTTGGCTTTGATACCCAAACTTACTTACTCATGGAGCTGAGCCCTTCCTGAGAAGCCGCCAATTCTGCAGCTACTCAAGAATTTCCCAGCATTTCACGGAACCCGAAGGTTCATCACCGTGTTCACAAGAGCCCTCCACTGGTCCCTATCCTGGGCCAGATTTATCCAATCAATACCATCCCATCCTATCTCTCTAAGATCCATTCTAATATTTGATACCCAAACACAGAGCAAAATATTGCTATGAACAGTCTGACGGCAGGGGATTTCTAAAAATTACCATTTTATTTCAGCAATTACACTTCATTCAGTGTATTCATCCCGCCCTACGACACATTCCATCCTCGTAAACTAACTCTCCAGAGCAATGGCGCCACTCAGTTGCAAGGTGTTCATAAGCTTCTTTGGAGGCAGTACTTACTTGATATCCAGTAACAGTCAGTAACACTTCTACAGTCCCTCTAAGTCGAGAATCAACCAATAAGAGTTGTAATGTAAACTGAAGAATGTCAAGTCAAAGTCCAGTCAGTCAGTAAGTCTTGGTGTCGAGCCCCATCTGCGGCTCATGACCAGATAGTAATTATTGCCGTTTAACAGTTACGGTCCTATTTTTGTCGGGCGCCCTCTCTGACGAGAGGACGGATGTCTTTTGTATATGCTTCTGGTGCTCGCCAGCGTAGTCCTTCTCGGATCCGAGTCCTTGGGACTCGCGACCATATTTTACTGTCTCAGATTTTAGACTTTCCTTTTCGTCGCCTCCTATGACTCGCAGGGTCACGGTGGAGGTATTTGACCCCGCCTCCACACGGGGGGGGGATGCAAGAATGCAACAGACAATATAGTTTATATAGCTTACAACAGAAAGAAAACTCTACGTTATGTTGATAACGTAATTCCCGTTGAAAATTCAACAGAAAATATTCTAATTTCTTTATTACTTACGGGTTGAGAAATTTCAATTACAATTCTAATAACATGAAGTTGTAAAACAACACACATATGATACCACATTATCAAGCCCCGTTATGTTTTCACGTGACCTTTCGGAGCATGCGCAAGTCAGTCTTCCGGGAAAATGCACACACATTCTGGATATTATGACCGCAGAATTCTTAGGTATACTAGATTAACTACAAAAGCAATTCCGTACCAAATGATATGCTCTATTATTATGATAATTTGCGATTTTGAAAAGGTGACCGCGACTAATCTGTTGATATCTCGGCATTCTTTTTTGGGTGAACTGGGATAAACTACAAAAAAAAAAATCTGGATATTTCGCCATCTGTCCGTGACTTTCTGGTGTACGCGCAGATATAGTCCCTCGATGGATTTTGTTTTCATTCTTATCACCGTTCCTCTTTCATTTCTTCCTTTCGAGCCCGCGTCACCCCTTCCCCTCCTCCTATGCCCTATATTCCTTTCTCAACCATATAATTTGTCCGTTCTATCTTTCTCTTCTCCCTCCAGGTCCACAGTCGCTGGGTGCGTACGCAAACATGCATCCACACAATGACTTCCATCATTACAAATTATTTAAACGTTTTCGACAGTAACGTTCCGAAACATGAAGCAAAGTGTTTCGACTGTCGGAAATTTGTTTTAATTTAGAAAATATTAACAAAGACATATAATCAAGAGTTGAGGAAACATAAAATATTTCAGACCAACTCATACGAGCTTCTAAGTCTCTGCGCAGCATGAAGGGTGCATCATCACCCCCCTCCCACCCGCTAGGAGTGCTGTCAAATAAGCAAAGGAATTCCCCTTCACTTAGGCAAACTGCTCATTTATATAAGAGGAAACGTACATTTCATTAATCTGTCATGCTTCGTAAATAGCTCGCTAATGTAGCCTCTTGATTATAAGTGTTCGCCGAGTACATACAATTTTGAAGAAAGCAGTCTTCTGGGATTTGGCACCGTGTATATGTGGTGTTAACCGACGTTTCGGAGGAACGTATCGCCACCATCTTCAGGGTAGAAGAAAAAATATAAGAAATATGCAAGCGAAGAGACCGTGAGAATCGGTAAAAGCAGACTCTTCGCTTGCAGATTTATTATATTTTTTCTTCTACCCTTAAGATGGTGGCGATACGTTCCTCCGAAACGTCGGTTAACATCACATATACACGGTGCCAAATCCCAGAAGACTGCTTTCTTCATAGTCACCGCCGTGAAAGCCTCAAAACATACAATTTTGCTTCACTTTAGGTGTAATTTAGTGTAGACTCCCGAATAAACTGCTATAAGCAAGGTTTCTGTTGTAGGTTGTATCGAACTGCGAAGAATCTGGTATTTAATTTTTCTGTAAGAAGAAGCGTGAGATTTGAATACCATATTCTCAGTGACACTGCATCCAGCAGGTATTACTCGAAGACAACCACCGCTACAGCGCTACCTGAAAGCAACGATTTATTGTTAGAAATAAAAAGCGGTCACATGATGCCAGGTCTGGTGTGTGAGCTCTATGAGTAACCGTGCAAGGGGTGGAGGGGAGGGGGTGCTTTGGATCTGGGAGTTTGCAACATTATTTAAATCTCACAAATAGTTATTTTATATGCAGAATATAAGTGTACAGAGAAAAAAATGTCGTTCTAATACGTTTTCATGCAATGTTAATATTACGTTGCGGGCTTATATGAAGGTATTGTCGGGGCGGATTCTGCCCACTGTATATGACAGAGGCAGGTGATACGTTTAGGGGTGGATATGATTCTCCTGAATTAGGCAGAAGCTCCATTTCATTATTTAGGTAGACGCTACCGAGTACCAGAAAAGTTAGAAAGAATGAAAAAAGATATCGAAAGAAAAATACCGCANGGCTTATATGAAGGTATTGTCGGGGCGGATTCTGCCCACTTTTATCTTACAACTACATCACCATCTGTATATGACAGAGGCAGGTGATACGTTTAGGGGTGGGTATGATTCTCCTGAATTAGGCAGAAGCTCCAGTTCACTATTTAGGTAGACGCTACCGAGTAGCAGAAAAGTTACAAAGAATGACAAAAATATCGAAAGGAAAATACCGCATTTCCTCG